AACATATTTTTCAAAAATGTAAAATATCAATGTAAGAAATCAAAGTATCTTGGTTCTATCGCACAAGTAGAGTGATAGATTGATTATAAAAATTTTGATAAATTATTGATTCATCTGGTGTCTAAATATATGATTCATTTACAAGTTTACTTTGTGTGAAATTGAGTGAATTGGATGAACTAGGAGGAAGGTTACATGAGTTTATATTGTTTAAATGGTATTATGATTAAAATTAGAGGAGAAATTGGTTGAAAATCCTGGGAACTCACTAAATTCGCACTAGGGACCCGTTTGCAAACTAAAATGAAGTTTTTGTGACAATTTTGTAATTTATTGAAACTTAAGGAGCTAATCCCGTCCCCAATTTTTTATTTTATTTTCAAATTTTAAAATAAATTGACACTATTGCACCTAGGATTTTTAGGTGGTTTAAGGTTCGTTTTTTGTTTGGGACTAGTTTTGGATGTTTTATTCTCTCCATTCGTAGGGCTCGTTGTCATGGGTCCATAGACACATACTACACGTAAATCAAAGTTCTAACGAGAAAGTTATGGTCTACGGAAGACTAGTGGCACAACTGTAATTTTGGAGAAGACAAATTTTAAAATTCTAGGTCAGCTTCTTCTCTCTCACTTTTCTCTCTCCTTAGCTCGACATTCTCTCTCCTCTCACTAGTGAAAACGGCGCACAACTATTGAAAAATAATGTCCATTTGTGTTCTACACAATTCTAGAAGAATCATGAATACAAGGATGGTTCTAGAGTTGTGGAGAACATACTATGTCGGCTAGACAAAGAGAGTTGAAGTTGGAAGAACTCTCTAGAGCAAGAACACTAACATTGCTAGACTATGGTGGAGGAGCATTGTGGCTAAACAATAGCCACAAAAATAATATACAAATTAGTTATATATCCAATCTTGTACATAGTCTTATAAAGAAACCCTATACCATTTGAAAACTATAAACACACTAAAAAAAAAATCAAAAATCGACAGCTGTCAATTTTTTCAATTTAATAGCTATTTTTTAGTTTATTTGTGTGTGTAAAATACCTATATTGCCCTTATACGATGGATTTGAGAGAGAAAAATCAAATATGCCTTTCAATTTAATAGCTATTTTTTAGTTTATTTGTGTGTGTAAAATACCTATATTGCCCTTATACGATAGATTTGAGAGAGAAAAATCAAATCTGCCTTTCAATTTAATAGCTATTTTTTAGTTTATTTGTGTGTGTAAAATACCTATATTGCCCTTATACGATAGATTTGAGAGAGAAAAATCAAATCTGCCTTTCAATTTAATAGCTATTTTTTAGTTTATTTGTGTGTGTAAAATACCTATATTGCCCTTATACGATAGATTTGAGAGAGAAAAATCAAATCTGCCTTTCAATTTAATAGCTATTTTTTAGTTTATTTGTGTGTGTAAAATACCTATATTGCCCTTATACGATGGATTTGAGAGAGAAAAATCAAATCTGCCCAGATTTGTCAAAAAACCAAATCATATTTATTTTCTCCTTTCTCGCTGGGGCTTTCTTTGTCTTTAGGTTCAACCATATTCTTCATCTCTGATCTACAATTTTCAATATTTCACCTTCGATTTCTTGTTCTAAAATTGTGCTTCTATTGATATATTTTTTTCTATTGATATATTTTTTTCGGATTGTTTGGAACCTTGAACGAACCTCAATCAGATGCTCTTACCTCTACTCCTCATCTTCGAGCTCTACTCCTATTTCGCCACATCGTCGTCGTTGTCATCGTCGTCATTGTTGTTGTCATCGTCATTTGGATTGGATTTGAGATTTTTCTTTTTCTTTCTCTTCAATTATGTGTTTCTCTTCAGATTTTAGTTGATTTTCGAAATGTATTTTAAGCTTTGATGATCAATTTATCTTTTGTTACTATTTCAGTAATGGATCTCATTTTTGTCTAACAATGTATTAACAATGTACTTCTATGATATAATATTATTAACAATGTACTTCTATGACATAATAGTATTAACAATCTGGGCTCTGCTTGTTTAGAGTTGGTTTGGTTTGTTCTTTCTTCATCTTTTCTTTGGTGGACATGTATTAGAAATAGCAACATGACAAACATTAATCAACATGACAATAAACTAGTAGTGTTATTACCATAGACTGAAACATTACAGCTATTAATCAACATGACAGTAAATTAGCAACGTTATTACCCTAGACTGGAACATTACAGGGGTAGACATGCATTAGAAATAGGATGTCATAAGAAACTAGCAGTGTTATTACCCTATATTGGAACATTATAGCCATTAATCAACGTGATAGTAAACTAGTAGTGTTATTACCCTTAACTGGAACATTACAACCATTAATCAACATGACAGTAAAGGTGTAGAACATTACAATCATTAATCAACATGACACGGGAATGAAGCTATGGTTTTCAAGACGTTTTGTTTGTAATGAATTGTTTGGGTTTTTTTTTATAAAATCGGGTTTGGCTTGTTTTGGGTGTTATTTAAGTGTTTTGTGTTGGGCTTCTTTTAAGTTGATCAATGGCAGTCACGTAATTTATATGAACTTCAACACCAATTTCTTATGTTGTAAATGAGTTTTAGGCATGTTTCTAAAGTGCATTCTATGTGAGGTTTTTTTATAATTTCAGCCCATATTTTGAGTATATTAGTGATGCTCCCAAATTAAAATTGTACAATATAGAATATTCTAAGATGAAGCCACACACTTGTGGCTGGAGTAAAAGAGACCAAGTCGATGGACTTGGTTATGTCGGCAAAGAATGCCTATAAATAGGCATGCAATGCAACAAAGCAAGGTGGAGTTTAACAAAAGAACTCCTAAACTGTAAGGGAGCCAAGAGCTACTTAAAATCCTAAGCTAGAAAAGCTAGGAAACTAAGCAACAAAGCTAGCTATCTAGCTAATCAACTAAAGGTGGTGCGAGTTAACCACTACAACTCCCAATCCATGAGGGAGCTACAGGTGAGCTACCCAACCTATGGAAGAAGCTTGAAGACGAGCTCAAGCTAGGGCCAAATAGCCCAAACTAATCTAAATCAAGTGTGGTGGTCAATAAGCCAATAAGCTATGAAGAAGGTCAATTAGCCTACACCAAGCTATGTACCATTCCAATATAATAAAATCACTTTGTTCAACTATTGTCCTATTGTTCCAAACCCCTTCTCCCTATAAACTAATAATGGTATCAGACCAACAAAACACACATCACACCTCTAAATTCCAACAACAACACCTGTTTCTTTTCACGACAACAATCCGAAGTTGTCTAGCCATGACCTCTAATGCCATCAATCACATCTAGTCAAGAACCCAGTTGCCTCAGCTGCTCACGGTGGTGCTAGGAACTGGGCCAGTGGTTTTTCAAAGGTTTTCGACAACTTTTCCGGCCGATTCCAATGGCCTTTGTCGTTACTCCAAGTATGGATTCGTAGTTTTAATCTAGACACCCAAGGTGGCCACCAGTTTGGGTGTGTTTTCAAGCCAAACCGGCCACTCAATGTCGTCAAGCCAAGTACAAAAATTGTTCCCATCGTTGCTCTAAACATTTTGGTATAGGCCTTGCTTTGGAATTCGAAGTTTTAGCCGAAAAACCTCCCCAAACCACCGACATTTGGCAGCTCGTGGGCTTAGTGTCAGTGACTTGTTTTGGACCTAGGATGATCTTCACGTTGTCCCGAACACGAAAGTGAATATCGAACATAGGTGTCTCTATACAGCTCGAGCATGCTAGTCACCAACCATACTAGATGGGGAAACGTTGGTGAGTACGACTATGCATGCTGACCTGAGCGCATGCTAGTGGTGGTACATGGAGAGGTCTAGTTGTTGACTTGTAGTGGTTGATTGGCCAACAATTGGTCTCAGCCTATTACGTAGGTCTTGTTTTAGGCCTATGACCATGTGGTTGGATGTTAGTCTTCTATTCGGCTTAGTCAATTCCCCATGTCAACACAAAGAGGGATACTACTTCCCTCCTTCTTGTGAATCACAGTTTGACACATGCAAAACTAATTTATCAGAAACACACACACAAAAAACCCTATGCACACATGTCACACTGCTATTGGTAGGAATGTAGCATCCAAGTATAGAAACAATATAGGAAAAAGAGCTGACCAAAAAGGCAGAGAAGAAGAAGAGGACCTGTTGAATGTGATCAGTAGTGACATTGTTGGGATAACACGCTGCCATCATTGTTGCATCTGTATCAGGTGCTGCTGCATCTCACACTCTCTCTTTTATATATATGTATCTCTGCTACTCTCTTTACACACACAGAAAGAAACTCTATTTCTTTCTCTCTCTCTATAAATTTCTCACTCCTAAAGTCTAAATAGAGTTTTTACATAGCTGAGAGACCACACTTACTGCAAAGGGTGGGTGCAAATAGAGAGACTAGTTTGATAGATGCCTTTGCCTTTGTTCCTTTTTTTTCTTTGCCCTTGTTCATTTTTTCCCTAAGTCCTAATAAGTCGTTTTAAGAAAGGGTGAAATTTTTTTTTAAAATTTTGAAAATAAGGTGGGTGGGAAAATAGGACAGAGAGTGAAAATAGCAGCACTCCTTTAGAAACTTTGGGAAACCTTGGATATTTCAGATTCATAAAAGCCTTTGGAAACCCTAATTCTAAAGGAGATGCTCCTTATAAATAACCACAAAAAATTGCAAACCTAGCCACCACCACCAGAATTGACAGAAACACATAGTTGCATCAAGGAGAGATTGTTGCAAATTCCAGGAGCCATCTTCCATAATTTTTCATGCTTTCTTCAATTCTAGCGATGTTTCCTTTTACTATGTCTAGCTAATTTCTTTAAGTATGTTTGTAGTTTATTTAATTTCTCATTTGCTAATTAATAGTAGTTAGTCTCAACTATTGTTATTGAGAAAAAAAAATTAACAAATAACATATGAAAAAATTATTTCAAGTTTATTAAATAAAACAAGAGTTTGACTTTTGAGTCGCAACATACCTGACCAAGTGCTATCCCTTCGATTACCTTCTTCATTTGCTTCATTATGAACACGTAGATGAATATCACCGATGGCACGAGTAGTGTCTATGTGTATACCTTTCAGAAAAGACAGTGACCTCAATCAAAATAATTGAAACTACTTTTTCTTACTATTATATACCAATATCTCCTGTGATAATTGATATGTATATATGTTATTTATTATAGAAACACATATAGATTCTTTCAGTTGGACGTACCTGCTAAAATATGAATATGGTTTGAATGTATTAGGTTGAGTTTTAGGATTCGGATCCTCTGCTTTGATTTTCTGTGCTATGATCTGCTTTACTTTTGTTCTCCACATGCCACCTCATTAAAATTTAATCTAAGGGGCTTAAATTGGACACATCTTCCTTAAAATAAAATTTCAATTTACTCCTAATTAAAAATGAAAAAAACCCTAACTTGACTAACGCCTAAACTTAACGGCTGTAGCAGTTTTTTTTTTCTCTTCTTCTTCCTTCTCTACACGTCTCCCCCCACCCCCAAATCTTATCGCTCATCATTCTTTTTTGTGTCCAATCTTAGAACACAAAAACATTATTACCAAGAAAAGTATGAACATAATAAGAATCATCTGATTCCTTTTGCTTTTGATTAATTTATAAACAAATTCATCTACCACTTTCGTATTCTTTTGCTTCTGATCTTTACTTTTTTTTTTCTTCCTATGAGGCTATGTCTGCAACCACCATCATCAAACAATGAATATGGAATAATTTTTTTTCTTTTGATATGGGAAAGAGAAGAGGGATTATGATTACAGAGGTTTTGGGGAAAAGAAATCTCAGTGAGAGGTAAGATTTTTGGGGAAAGAAGACGAAAAAATAAGAGAAGACAGAACGTGAAGCAGGAAGAAGGAGAAGATTAAAGAAGACTAGGAACGCTAACTTTCCTGTTAGTTGGATTAGGGAATTTTTTTTATAAAAAAATTAGAAGTAAATGAGTTTTTTATTTTTAGGATGATATGTCAACTTTTAAGTCCCTTAGATTAAATTTTAATGAGATGGCATGTGGAGAACAAAAGTAAAGCAGATCATAGCAGAGAAAATCAAAGCAGAGGATCCGGATCCTGAGTGTTATTCTTCTCCATAAGGAGATATATAGGAGTTTACATAAGGGTCTTACAAGGAATTAGATATAGTAAAGAATTAGGAAAGTATCTCTTAATTGTACAATGATTATCTCTTATATAAAAAATAGAAAAGTAAATTCCTTAATTAATCAAAGAAGTAAATCTCCTTGATTAATTAGGAGACTCACGTCAACAGTACCTTCATTATAGCATGAATACCACGAGGAAATCTTACTTATATATGTCCAATTTGTTTAAACTTAAATCATATTTATTGACAATGTTTGTTATTTACATAGAAGAATGGCCTAGAGATTAGAAATTTGCGATTTAAAGATTTAGAGTTTCCTCAAAATCTGAGGCTTAAAACCTAAAATGTAAGCGATTAATATGAGTCTAAAACCCAAATCTATACTCTAAGGCCCCGTTTGGTTCACATAACAGATTTGAGGGGAAATCACTTCCCATGTCATTTCCTAAGGGATGAGAAATGGAAGATTCATTTCCCATGTTATTTCCTTTCACATGTTTGATTTGTGTAGGAATGTTTGGTTTCCATTTCAAGTCTTAGGTCGGCGTCAGATAATGCCTCTTCTCATGTAATATAGATGAGTGTTTGTAACAGACACTGAAATATTGAATATATATATATATATAATATATATGGGGGCGGATCCGTGACACTATGTTTTTGACACAAATTTCACACCTTTAGATTGACCCACTTTGAATGGATGAGATTAAATTTAAACTAATTTTCTTTTTAAAATTATTATAAACTGAAATTAATTTTAATTAAATTCACCATTCTATTTTCTCTCTCTTCATTTATATTTTCACATTCTCCTATAGAAAATTGCAATTGTGAGATGAAAAATCATTTATTTCCCACTGTGCCTTTACGAGAAAATTTTTTCCTTTCCCCATTCTCCTTATCCTCATCTTTCATCTGCAACCCAAACTTGAAACTATCCACCGAACAATACTCAAACTTGAAACATAAGGAAAGTAGGACACAGTTTTGATAAGGAAGAGTGTTTGTGAAGGTTTTTATGGTTCACATAATTTTTCTTAGAGAAATGATTAAGAGAAGCTAAATGCTATGTGAATCTTTTTAATATGTACATCTTATATTATAGGTTTCCCATTAGAGATTACTGCGATTGGGAATGAGATTTTGGCGAATAGATACAACATAAAGAGGAAATCATAGCAAAAACAAAACAAATTAAGATGATTATTATTATTTTTATACCAGTCCAAACTGAGGATAATTGAATAAAATATTAGAGCCCCAACCAAAGAAATCGAAGGAAAAAGCTGAAGAAAAAGGGAACCGCATACACCCATTCATGGTCGCCAATACAAAGCACATGTCTTTAGACTTTATATTGCTTGTTCTCAAGCAATTGGGAACAGAAACATGACAAAGCTTATAAACCCACCCTCGGTGCTCCAAGACTTTCCATGTGATAGATAGATTTGAGTTTTCTTTTTTTGATTGAATTAAGTTGGACTGTTTCTGAGAAGAATGAGATTAAATATTGTTTATTGCAAATTTTATTACGGAAAGAGAGTGATTTTTATTGGCACATTAAAATTACCTAGAAAAGTGGGGAGTTTGACAAAAAAGAAAAAAAAAAAAAGGGGAGTTTAATATTTTATTATTTATTAATTTGTAAATTAAATAGTGAAATCACATGTAATCTTAACCATTAAAAGTACTTTTATCCAAAGGTTATAAGATTGTGTCAAAACTTGTGTCAAAAATATAGTGCCACGGATATATATTATATATCATTGTAAGAGGAAAGAGAATGTGGGTATACTAACAATTATAGATCCATTGTTGCCAGAATTTGAGTCGTGTTCCACTTGGGAATGCAGTAGGCATCAATGCAAATGCATGTATGGGGGATACCCCATGGGGGTCTTTAGTACGGACCAATTGTGGGCAACTCTGAATTAATTCCTGTGCAATATCTGTAGTAGAGAACAGAAGTGTTATAATGGGAAAAGCTTAATCAACTTGGTTGTCATAATTAAGTTAAAACTTATACCAAATTTTTTCACAAACATGGAATGGCAAACAAGTCCAGCGCCGTACGGGCCTTTCTCTGGCATTAGATCATTGAGTGGAGTGACGGAGTAGAGATAACGAACGATTTCCCAATGTTCATTGAGACAAGCCAAGAGAATTGGAGTCATATTGCCCTCCTCAATGGCAATACTAAGTATGTTCTTGCTTTTTTTAACCATGCATTCAACCATTTTGAGATTTCCTCTATTTGCAGCAACAGCAAGAGCAGTCCAACCAAGAGCTTTTATTTCCAAGTCTTCCTCTGCCATCAACTCCACCAACCCTTCCACGATATGCTCGTGCTGTAATTCTATTGCCATGTAAAGAGCTGTCTTTTTTGTGTTTGGAATTCTTGCTCTTACTGCATTGGGATGTAGGGTAAGAAACTCCTTTGCTTTATTCCAATCCCCACTCCTCACAGCATTGAAGAACGGCTGATACCGATGGAAGTCATCCACAGTCGTGTCATGTCCTGCCCCAAGTTTTAATTACTCAATTGTTTCACATAACATAATCCATTTATTTCTTGTTTTAATAATGACTGAATGAATTCTACCGTTCAGTCAAATCTATCATGTGTGGGTAGACGCATAAACAAATCAGATATATTGACTGCATTAGCATGTATCAGATTTGATCCTATAAGAAAAATAATTCAATCCGATGCGTAACGCCACAAAGTATCCCCCCAACAATATTATTGGAGGGCTCCATCAACAAAGGGGATCACTAGACTTAAAAACCCTATTTGGAGCACGTTTTGTTATAGAATAAAGTTTTAATTTCCGCACTGTTGCACATATATTTGATATTGATGCCTGTACTGTAATTTTCATGAGGATATATATTTCTTTTATATACAGTTAAGGGGACCAAAACCTAAAGGAACTAAAAATAAACTAATTAGTCCTTAAATGATCAGCACCTTTACTTGTCACAGAAAGAGAATCAAGTATACCTGGGTTGTTGGATGAGTCTGCAGACTGAACAGGCGAATTACATGGAAGTAATGGCTGTGGCGTTAACCTTTCTGCCAAAGTATCCCAAGCAATCTTGGCTGAAGTCATGTCTCTAATCAACAAAAAAGCTTCTGGACCGCACGAAATTTGGATTGTATGTAAAGCCGCCGCATTCTTCTTCCTCCAAGTCTTGAGCCGATCGTCAGAGTCTTGGTCTTCTCCTTTAGGAGGTTCAGCTGTAGCCTCCACTGCATCCCAAAGGTCTTGAGCCAAGAAGTAATTTTTGACCAATACACTCCAATGCATATAGTTATTCTTGTGAAGAACTTCCATAACAATTGCACCTGCGAGGACGCCACTTGCTGCCATTCTTAATGAGTCAAGAACACTGCAAGAAAAAAAAAATTAACAGAGGTTTTAATATTAACAGAGGTTTAATATTTTCAGCCCAAAAGTCGTTAATATAGCCCTCCCAAGCCTGCGCATAACACCCCCTAACCCCTTCACTGTGAATATTGATAACAAAAATGCAATTTTCTCTCCTTTACTAGGACTACTCGTATTTTAATGAGGTCAAGTGCAGAAATTCATAATCATTCATTCCTACATTACAATAGTAATTTAAATTTAAAAATTTGACATAAAAGTTGAGCTTACATTATTTTAGTATAAACCTCAGCTTTATATAAAGAACCAAAAAATTAATGGTATTCACAATTTCAAGCACAAATGACCAAATTCTTTCATATTATATAAACAACCAAACAAAGAATACTAAAACCAAATTCTTTCAATAAAAACTCAAAATAAAACAACTTAAAAAAATTATAAAAATCCTACATTACCAGAAACGGCAGAGTGACACCAGGGAGAAAAATGATTGAGCTGAGAGAGGAAAAG